AGCAAAAGTTAGTTTTATTTTATTTTTAACTACGAGAAAATTACCAAAGTTGACCCAAGCTTTTGTGCTATAATAAAAAATGTTGGGCCCTTTCTTGTAATTTTCTCTAAAGTGTTAGATCAGTAGTTTTAAAAGGAAAAATAGAACGCATAAATGAAAAGAAAGAAACAAGGAAAGAATCGCACGAATGAGACGAAAGAGAGGAAGAAGTGAAGAGGAAGAGAGAGAGTTAAGTTTGAATTTATGAGGCTTTACGACTATTGCGAGCTCAGCTATACTGTAGGTAAACTCCCTACTTCAATCCTCTTCCTTTCCTCTTGGTTTTCTTGAGTTTTTGGGAGAGAAAATTTTTAAATTTTGATTCCAAAGGCTTTGTTCTTGTAAACTTTAGTTTCCTTAGGTCCTTGGAAGGTTGTTTTAAGTTTCTACATGATGCCCTAATGTTTTAAGCGGGTAATTGGATGAAAAATGGAGTTTTAGGGTAAAAGTCAAATTCCAAGATGTTGGGTTTTGCTCCTCAATGGTTTAAATCTATTGATTTAGTTATAATTTTGCTATTTGAGCCTAATAAGATTTAAATTAAGGTTTGGTTTTTATTATAAGGGCTAATGGTGAAAGTTGGTGACACAAAATGAAGGTTTTTAACCGATTAAAAATTATATGAATTGAAAATTAGCCTAGCGATGGCTAATGAATAGTTTTGATAGTTAAGTGATACTAGATAAATGGTTAGTTTAATATATGGACAATTAGGATGGATTATGACTCATTAACCCAAGTGTGGTATGAGTTATAGTCTTCATTAATACTATTTGTCATGATAAGTGATGTGGATCACTTATATGTTGTAGGGATTATTGGTGGAATTTGTTCAAAAGTTAAGAAACAAGCCAAGTCCTATTTTGTACAAGAGGAACCCTTTTAATTCTAAAAGGTTGAGGTAACAGGGGAATTTATATTTCTTATTATATTGTTTAGATATTTTCAAATAAATTTTACTAGTTATCATGCATTACATGTTTTAAAAGATTAAATGTGCTTTATAAGGGGTTATGGGGTACTACTTTGATTATAGTGCAAATATGTTTTCTAATTGTTTAACAACAATGTTTTTATGGAAACGAGATTTGTTTGCATGTATTGTAATCATAAAGAATAGAAGTTGCACTTAAAGAAGTATAACTAAGTTAGGTACCTTAGATAGGCTAAGGAACAGTTTAAGGGAGATTTATAAATGTTATACTACGTTAGAGTATTGAAGTGATCAATACTCAGGAAAGGTAGATAATAGTAAAAGGCATGATCCCGGTGGGAGTTCACCAATGAGAAGGTGTGGACTTGTAATATTCTATGGCACACTACAATACTCAGTGTTGCCTTACATATTGTGGGCTCATTATACTAAAGTGGTTAGAGTATTGAGTGTTCAACACCTTCTAGTGGGGTAGGAAATCTGACATATATAGTATAAGGTTGAGTGCCTAAGCCAAAGTAGCCCTTACATGGAGAGTAAGTCGGGCTGGCTCTAGGAGAGAGTTAGCTTTGATTGCTTAGGATTCACATCAAAGGGGCATAGGCAGTTCTGTGGATTAGATCATGCCTTGGATTATGTTTTGTGCCTATGGAGGTACAAATGAGTATAAGGTTTACCTGCGAGTTAAAGAGTGCCAGGGGGCATTTTGTTGGTCATGAAAGGCCATACCGTCTTATGTCATGCATTCATGCATTTTAAATGGCTAAATTATATACTACATTGAATTTATTATTTGCTTATTTGATTATGACTTACTTTGTAATAATCAATATAGATTTCTCTATTACTAAGAGACTGTGGTTATCTCACACCTTTCTTTTCAATATTTCTAAGTCCAGGCAAAGGAACTAGTAGTGGACGGGAAAAAGAGCCGAGCTAGGGGTTTGCTTGTGGATTGTAAAGATCTGCAACCCCTTTCTTTTGAGCAAGTATATTGTAATGTATTTAAGTTAGGGTGCCAGTAAGATGTGATTATACATATATGTGCATATGTGTGGATTGTGTGCTTGTATATGAATTTTTGCTGCTTGTAGTCTTATGTTTAACTTGGTTATGGTATGTGGTTTTGATGGATTTATTTGATAGACCAAGTTTCCACTACAAGCAAATGTTTATTTTGGTGTGTATATATATGTGAATAGGTGTGATTCTACACGCAATTGCAAAGTAGCTGCATTTTGAATTGTATGCTAAAGGCAAACATATACCTTAGACAGAGAGAATGGCTGCATGGGCCCTATGGGGATCTCTGAGCCAAGTAAAAATATTTATCATATTTATTTATATAAATACATGGTATTTGGATTGATTTTTGGCCACTCTTGTGTGATTTGTGTATTTTAGGGGCTTAGGGTCCATTTTGAAAAATGGCACCTAGGTGGTCAAAATTTGGTATAAGGAGTTTTTCTATTATTTAAATGTTCTATAAGGTTTTTTTAGTCCTATTTGACGTGTCTAAGGTGTTCTCACAAGTTTGTGACCCTTAGGATGAAATTTAGACAATTTTGAAAATAGTTTTTACTAAAAAGCTACGCTTTTGCATCCGGGTGTTCAAATTTCAATCTAACTATTGGATTTCTCTAAAATTTAGGTCACAAGTAAAAATTTTTATAAGCTTCGTGTGGGCTTTGGAATCATGTCAATCGAACACCGGCTGGAGAAACGGCGCACTTTGAAATTTGGTCCAAAGGAGCTGTCAAGACAGCAAAAGTGCTATCATGATAGTAACAATGTTAATGTTGCAACATGCATGAATTTTAATCCAACTGTTGGATCTTTTTGAAATTTGGTACGCTTGTAGTACCTTTTGAATGTGATGTGTGGGCTATAGAATCACTCTGATCGGATGTCGGATGATGAAATGGTGCACTCTGAAAGTTACTCCGGAGGTATTGCCATGACAGATAAAAAGCTATCATGATAGCAAAAATGACCAAACTTGTAAAATGTTTAATTTTTAATCCGACCGTTAGATCTTTTTAAAATTTGGTGCACTACTAGTAATAATTAAAAATGATGTGTGAACTTTAAAATTACTTCAATCGGAGACTGGATGATAGAACAGCGCCACCCTAAAATTGGCTAAGGAGGGCTGTCATGATAGCAATTTAATACTGTCATGACAACATCTTTTTACCCCGCTTTCACCTAGCTTGCTTCCGTGCGCTATAGGTAAAACCAATAATTTTTTAAAAAAAGGTTTTAAATTTTTATTTTGCAATGGTGTATCTATTTTGTGATTTAAATGATTTGTTTCCTAACTTGGTTAAAGGATCAACTCCTTAACCACACTTAGTTTATTTGAATTATATGATTTTTGGATAACACTCGAGGTAAGTGTTACACTTTCTCCTAAAATGTGACATGGTTTTTATTATTGAGTTCTATTTTATAATACTTAAAAGTTATATATAAATAAAAACCCTAATTCTATTTATAGAGCTCTAAATTTGATAAAATAAAATATTTATAATTTAAAAATATATTAATAGGATGATAATTGTCATGCCCTGAAAATAGAGGGTGACTGGCACAAATGCAAAGCACTTCACACATTCCCGTAAGTTCTAAAATGAAAATTCATTCTATTTTTCAAAAATAGAATCAGATGATATGAAACTTCTAACAATTTTGAATACTAATTATCATAACAAAATATTAACGTTTTTGTAAAAATTTCAGCAAAACCTTCCCTATAAATAGGATCTCCTAAAAATTCTACAACATAAAAATTTTACAAATTATAGTATCAATTAGAAGCGTAGCTCTTTCTTGCCAGTAAACAATATACAAACTAAAATAAAGTCTAACAATAATATATGCGGAGCAACTGATCTTTGTTCTAAATTTAAAATACATGAATAAGAAATATTTACATCAAAAGTAACAATACCAAACAAAAATTCCACCCATTATAAGTGTATTGCCCTTTTTGAGGTGGACAGTAGGATCGATGTCTGCTAATGAATCTGAGACCAAAATAAATTTTTTCAGTGAATAGCATCCCTAAAAATAAAATTAAAAGAATTAAATTAATAAACCTAAATAATTGGACAAACTATCTGAAAAGATGATAATTGAACATACTAACTTCATAAGTGTGTAAATTATGATCGTAATCATAAATGAGAGTGAATTAGAAACACTTTTTCCAACATGTTTAAAGAAAATGATTTATTCATACATAGATCAAAATAATATACATGCTAACCAAAACTGTTAAAATTTCAAAAACACATGCTAATCAATATTTAGCATTTATGAAAACTTAATAGAATAGGTAGCAAACGTGGACACATAGTCCATAAGGATAAATAACCAAATGTAACTCATGCCATAAAGACAAACATGGACATACAGTTCATGAGAGTAAGTAACCAAACATAGTTGAACCCATGAAACAAACATGGGAACATAGCCCACGAAGGTAAATAACCAAACACAGCTGAAGCCATGAAACAAACATGAGTGCAAAGCCCAAGAATAACCAATGGGAAAGCAAAGCGCACGAACAACCAATGTGAGAACAAAGCCCACGATACAAACTAGCTAGTTATGAACCACAACGCTATGGGCTAATAGAACTGTCGTTAGTAGCAGTGTTTTATTTAGAGTCCTCTTAAAAATCACATTTTGAACATGTGAGAAAAATAATCACTTTTTGAAATACAATTTACATTTTCAATATCTAACTCACATGAATCATTTCAACTTTCAATTTAATACTTGTTGAAAATAATATTTCATAAATAATGTACAAGCTTGCTTTAATTGAGTAACCAAGAATTTCTAAATTTTAATAAATCAAAAATGATTTGATAAATCTTGGAATTATATTTCTTGAGGAAATAAATGTGCATATCATCAACATTCCATAATTTCCAAAACTAAGGTAATTCACAAGAGTAAAATATTTCAGTAAAAGTCTATTAAAATAAATTAAAGGGAATGCTATTCACTTACTCATTGAAGTTCCCAATTCCCCAAAGATACTCTTCCTTTAATTCTTGTCAGGGTCCTGTTCTTCCACACACCCTATAAGGATATAAATAAATATAATTTTAATAAATTTTCATTTATTATATAATTTCAACTAACCATCATCGTATAAAATTTCAAAACTAAATTTATGCTTTAGAGATGGTCCCAATATTATCATTCATGGTTTCCTCTAATTTGTCCTAACCATGCCAATCTATTTTTCTTGAGACAAAATTTTCTCTCAGGCTTTGCACCAAATACATTAGGCGCATTATTTCTACCCATTTGATTTAAAACATCCGATAATTTACCAATAACCATTCTAATCCCAAGAACCAATAAAATTTCAAATACTCACAAATTCAAGTTTAATTCCTCTAACAAGCATTGTAACAAATATCTTATAGGCACACATTTCAAATTTTCACACCTAAGCTCTTCTCTTTCAAATCCATTCTAACAACTATTCAAGATCAACCAACCCAATAAAATTGACTTAGCTTAAATATTTTGAGCCATATATAATTCATTACTAAGCCTCAAGATAGATTTTCTAGCTCAATTTGAATTTCTTTCTTCTCCCATATTCAGCATGGGTAGTAGAAGCACCAGAGAGAAATTTATAATCTAAACAATATCATCCCAACCGCTCACACGCATAGATTATACAAAGAGAAGGAGGAGAGATCGAAGCTTCTGACCTTAGATGAACCAACACGCATGGACAGAGGAAGGAGGAAGCAACTTCAAACAGTGAAGAAGGAAGGACTACACTGTGAATGAAGAAAAAGAGTGAGCATATTAGTGACCAAAAAATAAGCAAGAGGAAGAAAATCTTAGCTCACCCAAAGCATTTACACTCACACGAAACAACAATGTGGAAGAAAGAGAGACTAGGCATACTTGAAGCAGTGACAGAGGCAGATGAATAGCTATGAAATAGGGGAAGAACTCGCAAATGAGGTGGATGAACCAGCGATAGGTGCACCTACGACGGCAACCCATGGCAGGGAAAAAAGTTGGTCAGAGCTCTCCATATCTCTCTACTCTGGAATAATCAAAAATGGAAGAAGGAAGTATGTAAAAAAAATCTGATAGAGATAAGGGTAGTTTTGTAATTTTGGGAAGCAAGAAAACAAAATAAAATCCCTTTTTTGTCTCAGCCAAATTCAAACCTCTGACCTATAGGAAGAATGTTTGCTTAGTTCCCTTCTTGTTTTATATATTCCAAAAATTAATATAATTATTATTAAAACACAAAGTCATATATTTAATTTTTTTTTAGAATACTTGGGTTATTACAATAATACCGTATTTTACTTATTGATCATTAGTTGACAAAAAAATTACAGGTGACCTAAAACTTTAAGGAATTTAATCAATATTAATTTTTTTGTAATTTATAATTTGGATGAATATTTATAAATAATAATATTTAAATTATTAAGTATTAAAATATTTAATATTTTAATAATATTTTTTAAATTTCATTTTAACAAGCTTTGAAGGTACCCAACATTTCTAGAAAAAGAATTTAGAGGCAAATTAATATCAAAGTACATGGTCAGAGTCCTACTTATCACTATGTGTGGGCCCCATGCACATACCATGTTACAAGAAAATGGTATAGTAAATAGGTATACCATGTTAGAAGGGGTTTTTGCTCATTCAAAAAATGTTTCAAAGGAAAACTTATCCCACTTATCAATATAAGATGCTTAACACTTTTCAAAAATAAGTTAATGGATAAAAATGAACCTTAACCCTCAACGTTATAAATAAGATCCACTTGCAACTTCCTATTTATAAAGGAGCTTTCATGTCACAAGGCTATAAGATTATTAGCTTGCTTTATATATATATATATATATATATGTTCTCCCACCAGACCATAATATATGATAATTTCTAGGAGCCTTATTTGGTTCATAATATAGGACAGTAGATAATCTTTTATAATTATTTTTTTAATCATACCCCTACTTCATTTATACTCTTTTTTTTTTAAGATAATGCATTAAAATTTTAATTGTCATTATTAAGACAATTATATATATATATATATATTTAATAAGAGTATAATTGAAAAGATATAAACTATTTTAAGATATTGCTATTTAACCTAACTTTTTTTGAGAGCAGTGAAGTAGTTATGATGTCTCATACTATAGTCTAAAGGGAGTATATATACTCTAGGTTTCACAACCCAATACTAAGGGTATGACTGGCACAGAATATGAGATAAACTCACATTTCATAAGCCTTAATCAACCAGATATTAAGATAAAATATCGATAAATAATCCCTACTAGTAAAAAAATCAATAATATAGATATATATATATATATATATATATAATTATAAGGTTGATAAAATTTTAAACATTTTATAGAAATTTTGGCAGAGTCTCTCCTATAATTAAGATCTCCTAAAATTTTTATAGTAGTAAAACATATCAGTCAAAACCAAAAAAGAGTTTGGCTCCATACCAATAGATTTTACAATAGCAAAATAAGTCTAGGACCTTACTATGATATATGTGGAGTACTAAGTTACAATTTACATAATACAATATATATTTTCTTCAACAAAATTACTAACATGTGCTTCCGTTCTTCCAAAAAGCACTAAAACCCCTCAATGATCTATAAGAATCGCAGTGTCAATTTCAATATCTGAGGCTAAAGAAAATCTTTTGGTGAGTATCGTCCTAAACAAAATTCTTGATAAAACATGTAAAAGTAGTAATTAATAAAATTTAATATAAAACAAATCAATGAAAAATTAAAACACATATTTTAACTAGCAATAAATGACAAAGTTTCTCAACAATATAACTGTAAAAATAAAAAAATAATTTTCAAATTTATTAGGTTATGAAGAACCATACAACTCATAACATCATATAAAAGGAATTCAAATTATGATATAACCAAGAAAAAATGTTTGTAAATAATTAATATAAAACAATAAATTTTTAAATTCAATCTAGGAGAGAATTTATCATATAAAATCATATGCAATCAAACAACAATTTGTTTAATAAAATAAATTTAAAAATAATAAGTTTCCAAAAATTTACTTTTTAATGGGACTTTATCAGAACGATTAACAAGTGTGGATGCAAAATCCATGAGGGTAAGTAACCAACAAGTGTGAACACACAATCTATGAGGGTAAATAACTGACAAGCGCAGCTCAAAGCTATGAAAACAAGTGCAAGCATAAAGCCTACAAAAATAAGCATGAGTACCATCATCACAAATAATCATCCCTTCATTCCACATGCATTGATTGTCGCATGGGACTAGCACCTTCTAAGCATCTTGCTAGCTAGATATACCATGGCATGCCGAGGGCCAACAGAACTACTATTAGCATCCAACATTCTGAACTTAGTCCCTCTAATTAAATCAAGCTTGCATGGAGTTCAAACATTCATTGAAAATCATTTTTTTCAAAATATAATATTCAACTATCAATTTTTTTTCAATTTTCTCCATGCGCGAATCACCGTATTAATAACTATAACATAAATAATAAAATTTAAACAAAAAATGATTAGAATAAATATTCTATTAATAATGTGTCAGATCCAAATATTCCTTAACGATATCATAATTCTTAATGATTTTAAAGCAAATTCCATAATAAATCAATTAATATAAAAATGAGGTAAGTAAAAAAAATTGTATGAGTCTTAAAATTAAAATTGATGAGAATATTTATACAACTTATAAAGGAATAACATAAAAATTTAACTAAATAAATCTTATAACCACTTTGTAAAAAAAATTAATTGGGACATTACTTACTCATCTGATAGTTTTTCAATAATTCTAAAACTTATTCCTTTTCAACTTCTCACTTATATCTCAAATGATTCTATAATTTTTCTAATAAATAAATTGTAATTCTAAAATCACTTATCAAGTAATTTTTAAGTACTTGGTGACATTTAAATTCAATCCAAAATAACATTACAACCTAAAATATACAATTATAAGTTCATTATCAATTTAATAATCTATCAACAACCCAACTAAAGCAAGAGAAGACATTTCCATCTTTTTTGTACCTTCTTAAGCTTAATAAAATGACACAACTGCCATTTAATTTAACATAATTACTCCAGGTACTTTAGGACCCCAATTTAATCTTTTAAATCACTACTTACACATCTTCCTTTAAAACTAATAATATGAAAATTGAACAACTTGCATTTAGCCAAGCTCCTCACTTAAACATCTCAAGTTTAGCACCACATTACCTATAAACACAAACAATCACATACATACATAACTAAACTTCTATTTAAAAATTAACTATTTTAATTCAACCAAATTATTCTTTTTGAGACATTTTAACAAATACTTTCTAGGCATCCTAACTGACCCTTAAATAAATATTTTCTTAGCCCTCTTTTAACAATATCTTTTTCTTCTTCTTTGCCGTTTTTTTTTTTTAATACTTCCAAGTTTTAATTTGCCAAGAGCACAATCCAATCTAATTTAACTTTCAAACCAAATTCCATTTAGAGGCAAGTTCCAATAAATCATCCTAATTTGAATATGTAAGCAAGCACTCATTCAACCAACAGCACCCAAAATAAAAGAGGAATATTGGCATACCGTAGGACAAAGAAACAAGGAAACAAGTGGTTTAATTCAAATGATTCTTCATGGAAGCCAGAATGGCAAGGATGCCAACTCAGATTCAATGGCAACCGAAGGGAGGAGGCGAGCTGAACGAAAATTGAGGGAGCTGAGGGTTGAAACTTTCACAGTCAACAACAATGAAACAAGAAGAGAAGATGAGCTTACACACACCTACACGCAACAGCCAGCAGCTGAAAGGGAAGAAAAATGAAGAACAAACACACCTACGCACACGCAGACACAAGACAGAGGAGGACGATAGGTAAACGTGAAGCAGCGGCAGAAATTACTGCAACTCTAGATGGCAAAGAGATGAGCAAGACGACAGCGAGATTCGGCGAGCAAAGGAGAATCGTGACAGCAAGGAGGGCAGTCCGACAGTGAGGGATGAATTTGACGGTGAAGAGAGAAGAAGAGAAAGATGTCGGTGAAGAAGAAATTGAACGCAAAAATGCTGTGTTTTCTTTCGCACCGAAGAAGATAAATCTGATCAAACGATAAAATGGGAAAAATTACAATAAAGGGCACAAGGAAACTACAAGAAAGGCACAACATTTTATTATAATTTAAAACAAAATAAAGCCAAATTTTTGCTCAGTAGAATCAAAACTCTAGATTTTCAACAAAATTATTCCAATAAACTTCTACTCTCCATTTGCAACAGAATTTTAACAATTAGATTAAATAAAATATTAATTAGTAGAGAAATTTATTTAATTTAAAATATAGGGTCATTACACTAGGTGTAGGAACCACGTCTAAAGGAGAGGCCTTCCCATAATGTCACAATTCTAAAGCCATCCTCAATACTGATGTCACTGAAGAGTTGAACAAGTTAGAATTCAAAAATTTGAATTTCAATCTTCCTTCTAGTCCATTTTAAATTAAATGACACTATTAGCTATTTTAATAAGATTAAGAAAATTAGTTCTAATTAGTTTAATGTAAATCTTCTTTACAATTTTTCAAAATCACCCTTTGCTTGATAGATTAGCTCATTAGAGAAGGAAGAAAGGATGGAAAAGCTATCAATTAAGCTAAGAGTTAAAGAGACAAGGGTATTGTTTTTTTTTTTTTTAACAAAAACATTTAAGTGAGCCGAGTGTTAGGAGTTGAATAGGGTCGGGAAATGTCTCTAAACTCAAGAAATGATTATAAAGACACTTATTAATCGCTCACCTTGTGGGTTATGGGCATCCATCAAGAAGGACATTTTTGAAAATGAGTTATAAATATTTTATTAAATTTTATGAAGGATCTTGTCTTAAGGATAAGTGGATATCACTATAAAAAAAATGGCTTTTGGTGGTGACTTTTAGCGGTGACAAAAAGAAGTCACC